GGGGGGGGGGAGTTAAAAAGTTACCGGGCATTTTTTACCTTAATACAGAGAATGTATTAAAAGGTAAAAATAAAACACCCAGACCTTTGGTAATCCTTTAAACTCATATACTCATTTTTTAAACAATCTTTCACTTTAAATACATCCACAATACTGGTCATTTTACTTGGTTACTATATTATATGTGCGTCTAGTGTAGGGTATTCAGGGTAATTACACACTTTCTAAACAGTGTGATTAAAAAGATGGGAAACTGGATCTACAGGAACTGATAATATCTCTTACCAGCAAACCAAGATATGAGAAGTGGAAATCTGTTAGAGAGAATGGGTGGACTGACAGTGTGGATTATGAAGTGGTTGGATTATAGAGCATTACAGGCAAACCTCAAAATGCAGTATTAAATTAACCACAAGAACACCTGCTTACCTGTGTTGATTTTTACATTTTGGAAGTAATTTCTGGCATAAGAAAACAATTATCCATATTGAATTTCAGATCAGGATATCTCCAGCTTACTTGAGGGTTTCCATGTATATTTACAACCTCACTAATCTAGATATATGCAGATTGTGTTATCTGACCAAGACAGTAGACCTGCCCATCCTCAACAAAGGTTAATCAGTATGGTAGCTGGAGGCACTGGTGATGTCTATACAAGTGACTTTTGGAGCTCACATTTAAAACAAAATGATATCAAGTGGACATGATCTAGAAATATGTAGGCTTACTGATTATTTTGTGTTGATGGTAGTTATGATTTAAATTGATCCTTACTTGAGGAAGTATTTAAAGTATTAGCATTTTAGGGAATAAATAATTGCAGGTCATTGATGTGTCGAAATTCCAGTATACTCGAAACCCTGAGTACAGGTTGTCTGCAAATAGTACCCTTTTTCCTTGTGCTTATGATAAATGTAAAATATTGGATGATCTTTATGACAATGATCACCAGGATATACTGTATTAGACGTGTGCGATTCGTTTCGTTCCGAATCGAAATTCGGACGAATTTTCGGAAATTCGGACATTTGGATGTATCCGAATTCCGAATGACAGATATAACGAATGCAAACGAATCCGAATTTCCGTTTCCGAAATTCGGTAGCGGTAGTTCGTTCGAACGTTCGTTTCGTTTTCGTTTCTTATTCGTTTCGTTCGTTGGAGCAAAGTGACATTAGAGAAGGACAAAAACATTTCCCCCCCTCAAATGTCACTTAGCTTCAAATGAATGAACGAAACGAATAAGAAACGAAAACGAAACGAACGTTCGAACGAACTACCGCTACCGAATTTCGTCCGAATCCGAATTCCGAATCCGAATTGACTTTCACACCCGAATCCCGAAAAACGAAATAACACAAATCTGAATTTAGAACGAAACTAAACTAATTTTTTGGCAGTGCACATGTCTATACTGTATAGTGATGTTACATCCACCTGGGGGAACACAGACATCAATAGAAACCTGACGACAGTTTTAAGACTTCCATACTGTATCTAAAACTGGTAAAAAAAAGATTTAGATTTAAATATACAGCTTACAAAACTTTAGATCCTATATCAGCTTTCGATTACAACTTTAGATGTTGTGGCTGCATTTCTTTTTTTACCTTTATTTTCACCTGGTAATTCTGTATATAACATTTTCTGTCCGGCTGCACTCCCTTCAATGTATATTTAGAGCAGCCATGGTTGTCTGCGAAGGCTGCTTCCCTGCTTTGAACTACAAACACGTCTTCCTCTCTTCATCTCCATTATCATTACGGGTGGAGGAACTTGTCAATCACAGAAGATAGCTTGAACGGAATATAATATTTTATAGAAAATACTTTAATGCCTTTGTACCCTGCCCATCCCAAACCTAAAAGAAGAAATGACATTTGAGAATTTACGGTAGAAAAGATATTTATTTAAAATGTAAATAAAAATTAAGTAAATAAAGATGTTTGCGATTTTAACAGTTTGAGTTTTTTACATTCTGCTAGTTAAATTATAAAGTCATGTTAAAAGAATAAAACAGATTTAGTAAAAAAAGAAAAACTTTACATAAAGTATTTTTGATTTTTTTTTACCTATACCAGTAACAATAATTGTGTGTGTGCGCATAATATGGTAAAAACTGAAGCAATTATGAGTATAGATCAGGCTGGACTTGGTGCAAACTCAGTTCGCCTGAGTTCGCCCAAGCCTGCGCAAACTCTGACCGCCACTCCCTCCTTCTGACCCAATCAATGTCAGAAGTTGCTGCATTCCTTGCAACAGTTGCGGCATTCCCTGCTCCTTTATGACGATTAGCTGCGGACTGGTGTATGCGCCTCTCCGCAACTGATTGGGTCGGGAGCAAGGGGTGGCAATTTGAGTTTTGAGCAGGCTTGGCTGAATTCAGGTGAACTGGGTTCACACCAAGCCCAGCCTCATTTCTAATTATGAGGAGTTAACACATTTTCCAAAGTTAATTCTTTCTGCAATGACACACCAGTTGGAATGGTCATAAAATGTGCTTACAACAAGTAGTTCAGGAATGTATTGTTGTATGAGGTCACTAAGTTCATTCTGTTTAAATATGTGATAATAGCGAAGATAGTTTGTATTGTCAGTTGGGGGGACCTGCTGATCTTTCTTGCAATTGGTGTCAGAGTTAAGAGACAGCATTGAATTAACTGGTCCATTGCAATTAGCTTTCAGACCTGGTAATGGAACATTACCAAGGTCTTTGATTATTTCTCGGCCAAGTTCTACATTGGAAGATGTGCAATGACTTTTGTTAGCAAGTGGAAATAACCCTGTGACTTTGTTGGTATCATTCTCCAGGTCCTGTATGTATTTTGGTAGAAGGTCACCAATTTGTCTTAGGAAATGAGCAGGTTTGGACAGTCTGGGTGGATACATGTTTGCTGCTTTTCTTAATTCAGTGCAGTAGTCATACAATCTACGTAGAATGTTTCCATGCTTCTGGTCACTGCTTGCACATTTACTGCTTATATCCAGCCCTGATTCTAGAGACCGTGTTAAAAATCTTGATGAATGGAGGCCAATTTTAAATGGCGAAGATGCTTCATCAACAAATGAGGAATGTTTAGTCCTATTCTTTGTTGGCATATTGCTGTGAACCCTACTCAAAGGTTTGAGTGTCAGGTTCTTGGACTCTGGTTCAGTTAGGTCCTTCCTTTTCTCTGAAACCTTTTGTGGCTCCTTATTTCCTGGTATAAGCAAGTCTTGCTTCTCAAATTTTCTTCTTTTCTGTTCCATTGCCCATACATAAATCATCATCTGCCCACCAACTCTCAGGATTCGAGCCATCTCTTTAATGGCTCGTATGCGCCGTTCCTTCGTTGAAAAATGATGGATTACTGAAAATATATTAAGTTCAAAAACATTTTCTAGGGTTTGCTAGGTGATAAAAATGCCAGAACAATGAAAATATCTACAGTTACTTATGGCATCAGTGTGTACTACTTTTTGTTATGTTGCTACTTGCAAAAAAAATGTTGATCAGCCACAAAAACAGTGAGTCAACTTCTTGTTGAAAGGTTGACAAGACTGTCTCTGCTACTCTGAAATCCAAAGCACTGTTGTCAGCCCTTCTGGAGTTCTCCTCTTCTGGACTATAGACCAGCTCCTCCTCTCCATAACATGCATGTCTTCTGTAGTCCAGCAGGGGAGAAATTACATATGGCTGTCAACTTTTGGGATTTCAGTGCAGTAGAGGCAGTATTGTCAGCTTGCTACCAGAAGTTAGGAGCTCACTGGAATTCTGGCAGGATCAACAGTACCGTTCTAGAACTGCAGCATTTTTGAAGAGACAAAACATGGGGATTGTACACGGATGTATTTTTTATTTTTTTTATTTGTTCAAATATACCCTCTAAAGTTACACTTCCAGGTCTTGTTCTTTCCCCTGCGAGTAGATTATAAAAAGACAAGCAGCAGACTGGAGAGTTCACTTTGCACTCTTCTATCTGCATGTTCCTTAGCACATGAGCATTTCAACCATAGTGCTGAGGTTTATGAGACTGGCAGCGCCTATAGCCGGAGCAGCCAGGAAATACAGTCGGAGCTGGATTGACTGATTGAGCTAAATGATTTGTAGGACATAGAAGTATATCTGCGTGAGAGAGAGGTCCTCCTGAGGAACCAGGTGTGCCTACTAGAATTATGTGAAGGTAACCCTGCCCAAACTTTGTCTTCATCAAAATCATAATTGAATAAAAGTATATGTCAAGCCAAAAACATTTTTCCAATTAAGGATAGTGTGGGGATAGATTAGAACTCTGATTGGGTTTTTACTTCTATCTGCTCACCAATGAAACCACAAAGCTATTCATCCACTCACTTGTTATCGCCCGTCTTGACTATTGCCACTCATTCCTCATTGGCCTACCACAACACAGACCATCCCCCCCCTTCAGTATATCATGAATGCTGCTGCCAGACACATCCACCTAACCAACCACTTTGTGTCTTCAACCCCCCTCTGCCAATCCCTCCACTGGCTTCTACTCGCCCAAAGGATAAAATTCAAAATATTAACAACAACCTACAAAGCCATCCACAACTCTGCCCCCCCGGATATATCTCCAACCTTGTCTCAAAGTATCATCCTAACCGTCCCCTCCGCTCTTCCAAAGACCTACGGCTTTTCAGCTCCCTCATGAACTCCTCCCATGCTCGCCTCCAGGACTTCTCTAGAGTCTCTCCCATCCTCTGGAACTCTTTACCCCAACCTGTCTGTCTATCTCCTACTCTGACTGCCTTTAGGTGATCCCTAAAGACTCATCTCTTCGGGGAAGCCTATCCCACCTCAACCTAACCACTGCACTATCACTTTCTCAAACAATTCATCCCCACACAGCTACCTCCTTCTGTATCACTTGCCCCTCCCGTTTAGATTGTAAGCCCTCACGGGCTCCTTACCATCTTGTCTTGAATTTTATTGTAATTGCAATGTCTTCCTTATATTGTGAAGCGCTGCGCAAACTGTTGGCGATATATATAAATCCTGTATTATAATAATAATAATCTGGTGCACTGCCGGTATTTTTACTAGTATAGAAGGACAAATCTCTTTAACAGGGCCTTACACATCTAACAGGGGTTTTAGTCCTTCCCAAATCTATCCAAAACGAAGAAAAAAGGTTTTGGCTAGACATACACTTTAACTGTGTCAAGCTGATCTGTAAATGGTAACCTCCGGTGGGCAGGTACTGCTACTGTTGAAAGTTAAAGAAAAGTGCAGCTAAATTGTATATGTCTACTGGTTCAGTAACTTACCAGCTATAGAGAGAACAGCATCAAAGGCACCATCTCGGTATGGCAGTTGAAGTCCATCGCACACCATTACTTCATAATTTCGATTTCTCGCAGCCTCTGCCAGTGGGAAGCAATAATCAGACCCTATTTTAAAAGTCTGGCTGTTGATATGCAGATATTTCCCATTTCCACATCCTAAAAATCAATTCAAAGTCCATTACTGAACTGCATTTGAAAAAAATACATTTGATACACTGATTAGCCATAACATTATGACCACTGACAGGTGATTGACGGACATTGATTGTTTTTTTAATTTCAATGGCACCTGGAAGTGGGTGGTTTATATTAGGCAACAAGTGAACATTTTGTTCCTGAAGTTGATGTGCTGGAAGCAGAGAAAATGGCCAAGAGTAAAGCTGGCCATACACCTTACAATTATCTGCAGATTGAAAAGGTGCAACAGATTCCTCCATGTACATTTAACTGTGTGGATGGAGGAATCTCCACCTTGGCCAATCTGTTGCACTTTTTCCATCTGACCACAGAAAATCTGCAGATAATTGTAAGGTGTATGGGCACCTTAAAGGAGAATTATGACCTAAGGGCAAATAAAAGTACTTCTTGCCTTTACTCTATTAGCACTCTTCTTCTTTTCCAAAGTCGCAGCACATCCTAGATAAATTAATCACAAGTCACAGAAAACAGCCACCTGCAGCCATGCTCCAAGCTCCTTTCCTCTTAGGGGGCGTTAACAGGGAATGCAGCCCCGCACTCAGCTTATTTTTTCTAACTCTATTTGCCGTGGCCGCGCTTTCTCTAGTCAAGCACACCGTGTACGGCTGGAGTGTGCACGCTGACATGTGGGAGCAGGAGGCAGAGTCTCAACTGAGAAGCAGCAAGCTGACTCAGCCTCCCTTCTCTTTCCCTCTCTCTTACCAGTATTTCCCTCTCTCTTCACCGATCTTCTCCTGCTCTGTCTCAGTAGTCAGATGCTTGCAGCAGTTGTATGGAAACCTGTTCCCCGTAAATCTTAGTTCCCCCTGCCGTTCAGCTATTACCATAACCCCGCCCCTTCCTTACACCCTCTCTCCAAGCTCCGGTGTTCTATGAGAAAGAGACGAACGTCTTCTCTCACATTGTGTGCTCTGATCGTTCATCTTCCCCTCCCCCCACACTGTACAGGAAATTTCTGACTTGTCTGCGCGTTACATGTCACCTCTCTCAGTGTTGTGTTGCTGCGATCTGATATTTCCTGTCACATCCCCATCCTCACTGCTCATCAGAGCACAATGTTTATAGCACAATGATCACAACAACGCACTGTCCCATGGACACACTTTTGCCTAGGAAAGGTATACGAAGAACTCACATGCACCACCGCTTAGCAGAATAACATACACTTAAATTGCCTACCGATACTCGGGGAACACATTTCTGGTGTAGGAGACGATGCTCCCAATGGAAGTAGATCCATAACGACAAGCTTTAGGTCCCTCCCATCACGACACCCCACAAAAAAAACAAAACAACGCGCTGTCATTTGCTGGCACAGACGACGGGGACGTGGAGGTAGGGAGAGAGCTGCTTCGCATGCCCATGTATTCGTGGACGCGCAGTTCTCAAAGAGCAGCCTCAGTCACAGTGAGAACGATCAGTTGGGAGGTTCCCGACAGTATTGTCGGGATCTCTCCCCACTGCAGTGCTTAGCCCCGCCCACCATCTTAAAGTAACGATTGTATGTTTAGGGTGCATTTTGGATTATATGAGAAAATTCCAAAATGTACTCCTACAGCCCATGGAATCCAAAAGTAAAGAAAAGCTTGGACCCCATAATTCTCCTTTAAGGATTTCAGTGACTTTGACAAGAGCCAAATTGTAATGGCTAGACGACTGGGTCAGAGCAACTCCAAAACTGCAGCTCTTGTAGAATGTTCCTGATCTGCAGTGGTCAGAGCCTACGAAAAGTGGTCCAAGGAAGGGGGGAAAAAAATAAAAAATAAAAATACATAAATCAGGGAACCGGCAACAGGGTACAAAAAACAAAAAGGACTATCGTCAAAGGGGAGATAGTCGAAGGGTTAACCAATGATCGGGACAGACCAATTTTGAAAATATCAAATAGAAAACTTTATTTAGTGTATCACTAAACACCACCAAATAACAAACAACATAAAATAAGAAACATAAATGATCACTGACTATGAGTCCATTTCATTTAGGGTGGGGGTTATTGACCCAAGTTAGTTAGGCATCTTTAAATCGAGACCCTACCGTTCATCCGTCTTGAATATCAGTGGCCTCTACTTAAGGTGAATGGTAATTTAAGCACAGGTTGGTTATATCTATTTTTTGGCTAGTATACTCTGTATCGAGTCATTCTTTTTATTCTTACTGGCCTGTGTTTAAATAGGATGTTCTTAGGATTATTGTTGATACATTGTAGCCCCAATCCGGGGATATTCTAATTAATGGCAGGACAAGGTATTAGTGTGTATCCAAACCATCGAATATTTTTTCCTTGTATCCTTGGTAGAGTGAATGATATTTCTGTTTCTTTCATTTTGGATATATCCCGTCTCAGAGAAGATTCCCTAACCGAATCTCGGAAATAGCAATTAATTAAATCCGACACATAAGATATATCCACACAATTAAAAATAATCAAAAAATCGAAAGCCGATAGATATATACCCCAAAGGCAGATACTGGAGGTCCCGGAATTTGAAATATCATTTATGTGATCATTTATGTTTTTTATTTTATGTTGTTCGTTATTTGGTGGTGTTTGGTGATACACTAAATAAAGTTTTCTATTTGATTATTTTCAAAATTGGTCTGTCCCGATCATTGGTTAACCCTTCGACTATCTCCCCTTCGACGATAGTCCTTTTTGTTTTTTGTATGCTGTTACTTGGTTACTGATCTGGGAGACAGACCACTCTATAGAGCACTGATCTCCAGGAGTAAAACAATTCAATTTTTTTGTGTAGTCTGAATCCAATAAAAGGATTGGTGCCAGATACCACAGCATACCTTCACAAGTCTAGTAGAGTCCATGCCTCAACGGGTCAGGGCTGTTTTGGCAGCAGGGGGGCCTACTCACTATTAGGTGTGTGGTCATAATGTTGTGGCTGATCAATGTATGGAACTGGAAAATTGCAGTGTGGATATGTTTTTGGATAAATTGGACAATTGTTTTATTTCTGTATGTAACTCCATTGGGGAGATTTTCTTTCACTTCCTGTCCACGTGACACCTGTACAAGTAATTTTGGAGCAGGGTGTAGAAATGGAAATTCATCAAAATGCTGACATGTAGTAACGTACGTTGACGTGTTTTCAATGTACTTTTTATTGAATGTCAACACACATCATAATGCGTTTGCGTCTCAACATATCATTTCAGATGCATTTCCTTTTTTTCCAGGGGAAATTACATCAATCAAAAAACACCATGAGAGTCCAGACTTAACCTTTTTTAGCCCAGTTCTCTTTAGGGTCATGGGAGGACATATACTAACCTCCTCCTGTGACCCAAAGCTCAGTATATAGACGGCTACTGCCCACTATATACTGAGAGCGCCGCAGCAGGGATGGCTCCCGACAATACTGCTGAGAGTCACCTAGCTGGCTGATTGACAGCTAGCTCTGCCTATCTAGAGGCAGAGCCAGCTGTGGCCGCCCCCTCCCCCTCCGTCCCTCCAGTCAGTGCTGGAGGGACTGATAGGGGAGGGGGGAATGCCTGCGGGCAGCAGTGACTGACAGTCACCGCTCTCTGCAGGGAGATGATCAGGAAGTGAGCTAGCGACGGTATGGGTTTGCTCACTTCCCGATCTATAGAATCCACGTGTGACAGTTTCATTGTGAAAATCACTCACCTCATGGTTCACCTTTAACCATTAACAAAAAATGTAGCTTGTGTATCAATTGGGCTGTAGATCCTCAAATCATCTCTGAATTGGTGCCGACACTGTCCTTCCTTCTGGAGGGTGGCTGTGTGTGTTGTAAAGTAGCCACCACTCCAAGCTCACACCCGTGATAAACTACAATGTCAGGTTTAGTTTACTAATTTGTATTGAGATTGTAGCCCATCACGGGAGTGAGCGTGGAGGGGTGACTACTTTATAACACACACAGGGAGTATGGGGAACAAAAGTAGCCACCCTCCAGAAGGAAGGACCAATTCAGAGATGATTTGAAGATCTACAGCTAAGTGATAAAAAAATAAGATATATTTTTGGTAATAGTTGAGATCCTTGAATGCATTTTTAAGATTTCAATCTTGAGTTTAGTGTCACTTTACATTACAATAATAATTTAATGTTTTTAGATAATCATGTAAGGCAGGGATCTCAAAGTTCTGGCCCGTGAGCCGGTAACATGTGGCCCGCACCCGGCTGATAAGTTAGGCATGCAGTCAACGACTGCGTACCTGACTTGGAGAAACAGCTACACAGTGCAGAGAGCCACAGCCAATCACAGTGCTTGTTCCATCGGCAGCAAGACTTGCTCAGTATGGAAGAAGTTCTTTAATTGGCTGTTGCAGGTGTAGGAACAGCTCTTCTTGTAGCTGGAAGCTGGAATATGTAGTGATCATACAGAGAGTGGAAGCTATGGCCGGGTCTCTCAGATATTGCTGCACGTCCTGTTTTGTCCCCATTCTGCTCTCCTTCAGCACAGTGACAATACAGAATGGCCTATGCAGAGTACATTATATATGTGATGTGTGGACTCCTTCACCAGCTGTACACATAACTCCGTAGTTACTAGCTGTCCTGCCTAATTTTAACCTGTTCCAAGCTGGACAAAGCTTGGACATCCCACAGGATGGGAGAGACAGATTTGTACCTAGACTCTGTGTGTGTGACTTTGTATGTGAGTGATGCACAGGTTCACACTTGGGCGATCCTGGGATTGCGCATGCTGTTTGCCATTCAGCCCAATTAATTTTAATGGGCTTTTATCTGTGCGGGAATCGCTGCAAAAAGTACATGAGCCTTACTCCGTGATGCACACATTGCGTTTTTTCTGCCACTATTGTGCGTGAGTGCACATGCGGAATTGCGGTGGAAAACAGCACGATTTGATGGCCACGATTGGGGTGCCATTAGAAATGAATCAACGTTTGTGCGCGAACCCAGTGAATGCACGGCGATCTGCGTGGTTTCGCGCATTATCACTGTGTGGCCACGGGTCGGCCAAGTGTGAACCGGGCCTGAGAGGAGGGGGTAGGGGAGGGGTGAGCACAGCAATAAGGTACGGGGATCCTGGCACAGAAGTTGAGGTGAGGTACCTCCTTCTGGTGGATTGGAAAACTATGATTGTGCACTCTGAAGATGTAAGAGGAAAAGGATTCCACAGTTCTCTCTTCTCTCCTCCTTATACATACATACACACACACAAAAAATACTAACATTGCATACAAGGAAACCATAACAAACAAATATAATGACATTATAAACATATGCAGACATTAACACCGATACCGTATAGAGTTAAATTGTCTTTTGAAGGCTAACATTTTATGAAATTTGGCAAGCGGCCACAATGAGTAGGCAAATCATGTCATTAGCATAGGCTCACTGAATGAACCCTAAACGTTTCCTAATCTTTCTTATAAAAGTGGCAACCACAGGAAAATCAGTAACGTCAAGTACGCCTTCTCTCTGGGGTCCCATTGTTTTAGGTTGAATCAACTGGGGTCTATTTCAAGCTGACACTGCTTTTTGGTGATTTACTTTTTAATTGTTCCATTTTGTAGGCTTCCGATATTTACTTCCATCTAGAAAAGTTTGGGGATCTTTTACTAGAACTTTTTTTTTAAATTATGAATTACCATATTGTTCTCCAATGTGATAGTCTTCTGTTATGCTAGTTTAAACAATTGACCCCAGTAAACCATTGATGTACCATGGTTCTACAGACTCTCATATACAGTTACCTGCCACAGATTGCTTGTATTAGCTGACTAATTACAACCTTCACCCTCTCATTTCACTCTTCTGATTCTTCAGCAAGAGGAAAATTACAAGGCTATATATTTAAATGAGCCATTACTGCTAATTGTTAGCAGCAATTGTTTTCCCTTGAATCAGAATCAAATTACTGTTGCCGGGCTGTGCGTAATTTTGCTGAAAATGTTTCTGATAAATTCTAGCCATACAAGAGAACAGAAAGCCTATTATTCAAAGTATAATGTGTGTGTACGCTCACAAATAGTGACTGCATTGAAATGTTCAGTTTATCCTCTGGGATTGTACGTATTAGCAAATGTGAAACATGGTTTGTTTTCTTAATTGGTATATTGTTTTCATATGAAATAAGTAAATGATGGCATGCATCCATATTTCTCCATGAGCTACAAAGGTTTCTGAAACTCAGAAAATCTTGTTTTTAACAACAAAGAAAAGAGGAGAAATTGTCCACTATTATTACTATACAGGATTTATATAAACGCCAACAGATATAATATAAAAGGAGGCAGAACAGTTACAAAACAATTTAATACAAAGGCATTAGAAGGGCCCAGTTCATGAGAGTTCACAATCTAAAAAGGGAGGGGCTAGTGATAAAAAAAATCTAAACTGTGAGGGATGAGCTTGATGAAGAGAGTAAAATACAGTTGTTGGGTGGAGGCAGGATGGGCTGCTCTAAAGAGATGAGTTTTCAGGTATTGCCTAAAGGCGGACAGAGTAGGAGAGCCGAGGGATTGGGGAAGGGCGTTCCAGAGGATGGTAGAAGCTCTGGAGATGTCCTGGAGGCCAGTATGGGAGGAGGCGACGAGGGAGCCAGAGAGCAGGAGGTCTTGGGGGGAGGGAGCGTAGAAGATGGTTTGGGTGATAGTCTGAGACAAGATTGGTGATGTAGCTGGGGGCAGAGTTGTGGATGGCATTATATGATGTTGTTTGTATTTTTGATTATTTTTGTTTGGCAAGCAGAATCCAGTGGAGGGCTTGGCAGAGAAAGTCGGTGGACCATGGAGTGGTTAGTAAGGTGAATAAGTCTGCCAGCAGCATTCATGATAGACTGAAGGGGGCATAACCTGTGTAAAGGGTGGCCAATAAGGAGGGAGTTGCAATAGTTGCCTGACCCATAACATGCATGCATATTAAAAACTCGCGGAGAAGTCAGAACTGATCTGCAAACTGCAAGGTCAGTACCACAAGAAGTATAATAAAGCTATTAGATCAGTCTGCATCCAAGTGCATGCACCAGGACCAGCATGGATATGCAGGTTCGGGTTGGTGCAGTTGCATCCTGTCATGGGGATGTACAGAGTCTGCACGCAATTACAGACCGCGCCTGTCTCTCCCAGGAGCAGGTCCCTGCATGGGCGTGCACAACGTACGAATGTGCATGCCCGTGAGAATAAGACCTTACTCTTCCAATGGGGACCCCTGCTCTAGTGGCAGCTATCCAAGATGGGAAATTGCTTCAATTTGCAGAAGTTTCCTTTAATTGTCTGTTGCATCTCGGAGAAACAGACAGCAAAAAATAAACTGACCTTTCTTTACTCTGTCCAAGACAAATAAAAAAATCTATACATACAATAGATGGTTACATCTAAACTATGACATGCAAAATTGTAGGTGAAACCAGGGTAGGTGAAATCAGGCAGAGCTCTCCAGTCAGCAGGGAGCATGAGCATTGCTGATCCCACAGCTATAGCTCTAACTCAGTAGGGGCAATGTGACCGTTGCTTTCCCACATGGAGAGCAAGGCTCCCACTCTATAGCTGCTGCAGGGAAAAGGCTTACTTACTCAGGCTGTGGCTGCTCTTTCAAGAATATGAACGGTTAGACAATAAACACCTTTTGTTCTGACACCTAGAATGTATTTAGCTTATTCAAACTGAGGGTTCAACTGAGCTGTAAACATTGACTGTAAAAGTGGACCATATGGAGTACTTCATAGCATCTGAAATGATAAACATTTCAATGTCACCCTTTCATAACAGATCACATCATGACCAATGCTTTGGCACTGGCCACATGAGTAACACCAGTGGGCTGAAGAATAGCAATAACGTAAGGAGAAATGTTCTATGCTTTTATTGAGTGTTGTATGTAAAAGATCTGTTTGTGAGAGTATAAGGTGGACCATACATGGTTATACTTCCTAAAAGGACATTGCCTGGGCCATTTTTGGGTGCCTAGGCAGTTAGGTATAACGGATAAGCATTGCATAGAATATTCCTTATTTGTAGGATTTCAGAAACACTTGAATTAATCCCTACAGCCCTATGGCAACTAGAAACAAAATGAAAATCTTTCAATTAAAGAACTTACCAATATCAGCCACTAGACTTCCTGGCTCCTGAGCTAATAGGAACTCTTGTACCTTTGGCCAGGCCTTGTAGCGTTTGTCATTGAAATAAGGAGCAATCTTCTCATATACATTATGAACATGCTGTCTTTCCAGGTGGCTGGCCTCTTTTTCCATTGCTTCTCGTCACCGAACAGATGAAATGGCCTAAAGCAACATAGAATATTCTATCAACACAAAACCTTGACAGGTGGAAGAGCCATCTATGATTTATAAATCAGCAGCATCTAATCAATTTATATTGTGTCCATCAAACTCTGTGATATAGCAAACCTTATGAACTTCATGAAAATTGACAAGATTACACAGTCTTTTTTATGGTCACATGTTTATTAACCCCTTAAGGACCAAGGCCTTTTTTTCCCATTTTTTGTTTACATGATATAATCCATATTTTAGGCCTGAAAATTACTTTAAACTCCCCAAAATTATATATTTTCTGAAAGCCAAGAAGACCCTGTAGAATAAAATGATGGCAGCTGCAAATTTTTTATGTTGCACGACATTAGCGCAACTTTAATAGCTTATTGCTGGGCTTCAGGAGCCCAGCAATGACAGCTCAGGGACCGGAAGTGATACAATATGCGTTGCTCCTGATCCTATAGAATGGGGAGGAGATCGGTGAATAAACATTTGCCTCTCCCCTCTCCAGCTTCCTGCCGACACTCAAGATACCTGGTCCCGCAGGAGGGGCAGCAGAGCCCTGGAAAAAAGGCGGGGTTGTGGGGCGGCCACTTTATTGGATCGTAAAAGCGATTTGGCAATAGCTGAGTTGCCAGAATCGCTTCTACTGTAAAGCCATCTGCTGGCTCTACAAATATGAATAGAGTAGCTGCCGGGAGTCTGTTTAACCCCTTGAATTATCCTGTCATGGGTCATGAAGGGGTTAAAGTAGATATAAACTTTAAAGTGACACTAAGCTCAGGGGTTAAATCTTAAAAATGCACCCAAATACCTTAACTATTAACTGGAACTTATGTGTGCATCACTCAGCTATAGATCTTCAAATCATCTCTGAATTGGTGCGAATACTGTCCTTTCTTCTGGAGGATGGCTACTTTTGTTCCTCATGGTACCGGTGTGTGTTGTAAAGTAGCCACCGTTCCAAACTCACTGCCGTGATATACTACTACTACTTCAATAAAAATGAGTAATCTGAACGTGAGATTGTAGTCCATCACAGGAGCGAGCTTTAAATACTATTTGCTTTAGCTGTCTCTGGCATTTGTTGTCTCCACCCCTCCCCATAGTGTAGCTTTTTCTCTGTGTAAATAGCATCTTCCTTCTTCCTTATGTTCCAGTCTGCAACTCAGCCACATGTATTTTTGTTGAGTGGATCGCATTATGATCTTTTAACCTATCCAACGTTTGTTGTTGTAAAGATCTGCACAGTTTGGCTTAAACTTCTCAATGATCTTCAAGGTGTCATCTGGATTGAGTCAATTGTCTGCCAACTCTACTGAGATTGTGAGTTACTGCCATCTCGCCACAACTGTACACTACAGAGATCAGTTTTAATGCTTAGACTAGGGGGGCAGAACAGTGCTCCTTATTATCCTCTTTGCTGGAGACTCTGACATGAGGAAGCAGAGCACTGCCTCTATAAATATGGCTGCCCCCACACAGAGACAGTGGCATGGTAAGTCAGTATGTGGGAAATATCAGCTGCAGGGTGACCTCAGGCAATACTGTTGACTAGTCCTTTGCCCTCTGCCTACCCAGCTTTCATAGTTCAGTTCCTCTTTAAAAACAAAAATTGCATTTAATCTGCTTATGTATTTATTATGGGATCCTTAAATGCAATGTTACATTCTGTTGTTGAAAGTATCCGATTCTCTTTTGAGATCAGCCTCCTGTAATTCCCTGCACAGCAGATTTAAGAGGGTGGCACTGTAAATTAATCAGGCTGTACTGCGTTTCATAGTGCTGTGCATCTAACACTGGGGGCTTATGACAAGAGGAGAGAAAAGAATGATGATGCCATCAATTTCCTGCTGCTCCAGGCTATGCTGTTCAACTGAATCGTAGATTGCAAAGGGGTCTCAGGCAGTGCAGCCAGCGATAACACATTCTGCAGCCTGTACGAGTGATCGAGCGGCTTTACAGCAGCCCAGAAACAGACAGTTGACAGGCTGCAGCGGCTATAACGGACGGTCTGTTTACAGGCCGGTAGGGTTATAGCTCTTTTGCTGCTGGTTACCAATATGTAAATCTTCTCCATAGTCTGGGAACAGGTGCACTTTAGAGAATGGAGCAGCTCAGTAGATAAATTCACTTACTAAATAACAATAGCAGCATGAGACTTTCTGGAGCCTTTATCTCAAATCAAATCTCAAAGCGGATCAGCGGGTCAAGAGAAATTGCTTGTGAAAAAATACAACACTGAATAAAATACTATTAACTCTAAAAGTCAAAACATTAAAGCCAAGACATTACGTCATTTCAAAGGAATCCAACTGCTGTGAGAATTCTGAGGAGATAGGAAATCTCTGCAGTAAGAGACACCTAAAATTCTCCACCTCTGAGGTATGGGCAAAGTGACCCTTTCTTTTGCCGATCGTGGACAACACTAACAGGCTGTAGTGGAGTTCTCCCTGCACTGCCATTTCAGATGCAAGCCATGGTATGAGGCAGCCCAATGATGAATCCAGCAGGAAACTCACAAGATCTAAACCTTCACATTAGCTGAGCTGACATTAAAGGTAGCTGGGAGATGGACCATTGGGTCAACTTTTTAAGGATGAACTCCAGACACAAGAATTGTATTTAGTTGTATCCTTTTATAGCCACACAGGACATAAATCCACTTTGTGTGCACCATATGCCTTTGTAAACCCAGATATCATCTTTGAAAAGTAGCAGAGGCATCATCACTGTGCTGTACATAGCCTATGCAGTGACCATAGCTGTGGGAGAAAACTCTCAGACTGCCACAGGGGGTGAAGACAAGACCAAGCACACTGCACAAGGAGGGAGAGCAGCAGTGACCAGTCTCTATGACAGGAAACCCCACGTTCAGAGGTACAGCATAGTTGTAGTTTCAGAGTTGTTTCATGCTGGATTCTTACACAGATCTGAAAGAAATACACAAAGCCCTCCAAGTAAAAATGTGGCTCTTGTATATAGACAACATTTGTTAAGCCCAGATTTTAGCTTTGACAACCCAGATATTACATCACGAAAGTAGCAGTGACATCATCAGGGTGCTGAACATAGCCTGTGCAGACAGCAGAGATGTGGGACCTAACAGGCTCCACCCACTACAGGTCACCTGAATAAAAACCACAGGAAGGGGCGGAGACAAGACCAGTCACCCTGCACAAGGATAGAGAACACCAGTGACTGGTCTGTATTACAGAAGCAAAGAAATACACAGATCTGGAAGAAGTACACAAATCACACCTAGATTTCAGTAAGAATACACACAATTCTTGTATTTAGACATATTTGCTTATCCCGGAGATCAGTTTTAACTCTCCCCATTAACAAACAGCATTTACTCACCTTTCCTCTTCAGTGCAGGATCAAATAAAAGCCCTATGTAAGTCAAACAAAAGCCCTATGTAAGTCAGAGGGCTATGGGTGGCTTTCCAGGCCCCATGTGACAACGCCAACCAATCACCTAGTACTGTCACATGCTAAGCCATACTGAGAATTGCTGGGTAGTCCACTTCCCTCTGGGTAGTCAAACTGAGCAGTGCGGGAGTAAGGTAAGCGGAGTACACGCTACTGGGGAGGCAGAGGGTTAAGTGATCCAACAAAGGCAAAAGAAAGGTCACTTTAAAGAAGAACTCCAAGCTAAAAACTTTAATTAACCCTTGCAGTGGAGCTACCCTCACACTGCAAGGGATAACTGCTCATTTTGGTCTAGGGAGGTTATACTCACCTGATCCTCAGAGTAGCCAGCTGTCTTAGCACTCCCTCCAGCCTCTCCTTCGCTGCAACGATGGAATGTCCCACAGCATCCTCACATCTGATACACAGATCATTAGACGTGATAACTCGAGGATCCTAAAGCTGGCCATACAATTATAGATTTTCTATGGTCATGTGGGAAAAGTGCAACAGATTCCTTCATCTTCGCTAAAGTGTGTGGATGGAGGAATCTTCCACTGGGCCAAGCGTCAGTATCTTACTAGTCCAATCAGATTGTTCAGGTATTTTGAGCAGTGGCGGCGGTCCTAATGAACAAAGGGCCCTGATGCAAGATTTTATCTTGCCCCCCCCCCCCCCTTCCAAGAGGGGGAGGGGCACGGGAGCGGATCACACTGGCCGTACCCCCCTGATGGCGGTGTTCTATCAAAGTCTGTGACTACGTTAGAATGTGTGACCGGTGACGTGGACATAAGATTTGCGATGCCGATCTGCCCTGGAATAGCTGAGAAAGCGTAGGAATGCTTGACCTATTGGTGGTCACACATTCCACCGCCAAAAAAATGGGCAGGATTACGTTAAAATGTGTAACCACGTGACCGATCACACACTCTAACGTAGTCACAACCTTTGATAGAACAGCGGTCCTGTCTGTAATAATTTAATCAGAGAAATAGATTAGAATAGGCAACAGTGTAATGTTCCCCATTATAATCCATTTTTCTAATTAAATGAAATAACAGCACACAGTGTGCAGTTACACCCGTACCCCCAACCCCCAATCCTCCCCACCGCCTCCCTAATTCAGGTTCACCTGGCCAGAGCCTCACAGGATCCCAGCCAGACAGTGTGCAGGGGGCAGGGCATGTGATGCACACTTCTCCTCTCCCACCGCCTGTTACTAGGGACGCCGCCGTCAGACGGAGTGGTGAGTCACAGGACCCCGCCCCCTTGCTGAGAAGCCCGTCGACAGTGCGGGGCCCCAGGGACCCTGCAGTGCACACTGCCCCATATTTCACAAACGGGGGGTGCCTAGGACCGGACCTCACTGCCCCCCCCCAAAACCACAGGCCCCAGTGCAGCCGCACCGGCAGTAGTTCCCCCCCTGATTTTTAAAACCAGCGGGGCTAACTAGCAAGATACTGAAGCTTGGCCCAGTGGGAGATTCCTCCATCCACACAGTTTAGCGTAGATGGAGGAATCTGTTACACTTTTTCCATCTGACCATAGAAATTCTGCAGATA